AAACATATTGCTGCAGCTGTTGCATACAAGAGAATTGACAGAAAGGGTTCAACATCCTGTCTTGGAGAAAATAACCTATCGTGGTCTTTATTCCATTCTTTAGTAAGTGGAAAACACACACTGGAGGCCTATCATAATAATAAGGTGATGGAAACTGATTTCCCTTCTGGTGGCTGCCCAACACTTGGGGTGTATCTGGACTGGCCTGCTGGCACTCTGTCCTTCTACAAAGTCTCCTCTGACACACTGAGCCACCTCCACACCTTTCACACCACATTCACTGAGCCTGTGTACCCTGGCTTCAGGGTTAATCATGCAAACAACTATGTCTACCTGCGTCCAGTTCAATAGGAGCAATGACAATGACTTGTTAGATCCTTGGTCTGTTAATAGAGAGATGGGTTGACAAGTAAAGTTTAAACAGTAAAGTAACATCCCATGTTAACTTGAACATGTTTCACAAATTCCAAACATGTATTCCAAACCCAGAGAGAGCAGGAAAACACATGATCTTATAAAGTTACAACATATGTCATTTTCTGTTGATCATTTCTTTGTTGATTCGATGCACAGACTCAAACTGGTTTCTGCTTCACAGCTTCACAATCACTTTCTACTTTCTCTTCAAATCACGTTTGAATCATTTGTATTTCTATTCGTATTCCTGATCATTATTGCTTTGTCTAAACAAATGTGTTGACATGTACTTTCAAAGCTCACGTCAACACTTGCATAACTTGTTTTAATGAATTTATTAAGTTGATTATGTTGGGACAGAAGGGTTAGGGTTACACAATGGAAGCTTCTGGGCGTGTGGTGGTTTTTTTCACACCTAACTATATATGAAACATGGCCCCTGTGACCTATAGCCAAACAGGAAGTCCTATCTTAAGGTGTTGCTTACCTTTTTATGCTTATGGTTTATCCTCTTTAACTTTCCATCGTCTATGATGAGTTACGATCTATTTTTATAATCGAGCTAAGAGTGTTTTATTGTCAGATATCAATATACTCGTTACATGTAATCCCATATTGTTTAGGAACAGTTCAATGATGATGAGCTTTGATGTGTGTTTTTCTATCATTTATCAAAATGTAATCATATGTGCTTATAATGTTGACTAAATGTTAAAGCTCATGAAATAAGTGAACTTTGAATTAAACTCACTCTGACCTGAGGGGGGGTTAGCAGGACAGAGTTAACCTAAACAATAAGTCTGTCAGAAATGATAAGACTATGAAAACTGTTTTGTCCAATGATTAAAGAATGATCTGTTGTCTGCCTTATATGGACCCGGAGGTTGCAGAAGCACCAAGGAGAAGTGTCTATGTAGGAGGAGACAACAAAGGGTCGAGGCTTCTGGGGGGTTCTTGCTCTTTGAGAGACTTGGTTCTTTTTGAACTTGGTACATCTGACATTTTGTATGATCTTTTACTTATTTTGTATTATTCATTTTTTGTAAGCTTTTACCTTACTTTCTGTAAAAACAAATAAAACTGGTTTGTATTTTGTACATTCCAACCAAAGTCCAGTGTTGCTCGTCTCTGGTGGGGCCTTCATAGTCTCCTAAAGGTGAGAGAGCTCTTCCCCTGGGATAGGCTGACAGTAGTAAATAAATTAGACATGACATTTGAATGACATTCCTGCTACAAGCTAAGGTTTAAATGGTGTTGTTCAGTATTGTTGTGATTTACTAACTTGATTGGCTCAGATTGTTTTTGATGCTCTGCTCTTAAATATCAGATCTCTGTCATCGAAAGCCAATTCTATTTGTTACAGTGTACCGGGCCCAAAGTTCGTATTGTGAATACCTATCGGAATTTTCATAGTTCTTATCAAGTCTAGTCCTTAAAACAGATAAAGTAATTATTGTAGGTGACATTGATATTCATGTGGATGTCGATAATGACAGCCTTCGTACTGCATTTATCTCATTATTAGATTCGATTGGCTTCTGTCAGAGTGTACAGAAACCAGTGGCGGGTCGTGCATTTACCTGGGCCTTCAGTGCTGTCCTACTACAGTTGAACCACCTCCTAATAACCTCATTATGACGCCATAGCTACGGTTATTATTTGTTTCTAGGGGTGTAACAATACACATATTCGTATTAAACTGTTCGCTACGAGGCTTACGAACCGAACAATACGTTACAATAATACTAGTGCATTTGGAAAATGCAGAAGCTTAAATTGTGGGAAGCACGAGCCATTCAAATATTATTCAAATCAGAGGGAACAATATTAACCATATCATAAAAACAACACCATAGACAAATTCACACAGTAGTAACGCTACTGCAGATGTAAAAACACAAAAGAAGTTCACTTACCAAAGCTGCTGTTCACTTAAAGACAAAGTCCATCCTCCTTTCTTTGATTACAAAGAGTTTAATGACGCGGTTGTACAGAACATCGGTGCGGTTCAGTTCCAGCCAGAGGTCCTCCTGTGAACGTTGAGTTGTAGATCCACTTGGTCTCAGGAAAAATTTTCAAAAGCACCGTAGCTTGTAAGTGTCCTGCCGTGCTATGGTGTCGTGTTGATGCCTTGGTTAGCCACCTCAGGTTAGCGTAGCGTAGCTCCAAACACCAAGACGCTCAGTCGCAAATGAAAGGCATTCTTAGCCATAACATGTGCAATGCTTCTCCGACGCTGTCAGCCAGGAATACCGTTCGTACAAATCCTTTTCCATGCTGGGTCGGGGCTGCTAGCTGTGGGGTTGGCCGACCCTTTGATACGATGTCCAGTTTTTCTGGAAATGTCCTTCTTGAGAAAGGCTTTGCCAGTAACTCCCAAATCTGTTTCTCCTCCTCCTTCAGCCATTGAGTGTTAAAAAAAAGAATCTACACCAAGCAAAACACTAAAAATGTCATGTCAATGTCATAACTTCTTATATATCTTTCAACTTGAACTCTTACTACTACTACTAACTTCTGCTAGCTGCTTCAGCGTCACAACAGTCACGCTAGCCCACTGACCAATCACAGCGCACGTTATTGTTGAGTACTTGTAGACTACCTCGGTAGGTCTGGCACATCAAAGAATACGCCCAACATGTCAAACTAAAGATCTGATTGGTTGAAGACTATGACAATCAACAATATCGTCCCCATTCACTTTAATCTGCAAAGTCTACCTGGCGGGCCTCGAGCCTCTGTTCTTACCTAGAGACACAGAGGTGAGATCTGATTGGATAAAAGCTCTCCTTAAAACAAGCTGCACTGGAAGCAGAGCAACTGAGGAAGACAGTAGCTGTGCAATGAGAACATAAGATAATGGGAAAAATTTGAATACAGGTAGTGTATTTATGAAAAATGATTAAATTATAAAATAGCTATAACTTTGTGATTCTGTTTAGGCCAGCAGAGAAGGCTTAGCTGGCCCTGATAGAAGATTTAATAGTCTTTCCACAGAACCCTCTTTTATCGGACCATTATCTAATAACTTTTGAATTTCTACTACCAAAGTGTACGCCATTAGGCAAAGGTTTCTACACTAGATGTCTATCTGATAGTGCTGTAGCTCAATTGAAAGAAGTGATTCCATCTGTATTTAACTCAAAACCATTGTATTGCACGATAGTGCTTCAGGCTCACTGAGAATGACACTAGACTCTATTGCCCCTCTAAAAAAGAAGATAGTAAAACAAAGGAGGTTCACTCCATGGTATGACCCTCAAACCCGTAAATTAAAGCAAACATCGCGAAAACTTGAAAGAACATGGCGTTCCACCAATTTGGAAGAATCCCGGTAAGTCTGGTGAGACAGTCTTAAGACATATAGGAAGGCCCTCCGTAATGCCAGAGCAGCCTATTACTCATTATTAATAGAGAAAAATAAGAACAACTAGCTGATAGAGAGTATTCCTATAGACCTCAGTAGTAATGACTTCATGAACTTCTTCAATTAGGGCCCGAGCAACCGACGTCGGGCCAGCGAAGGCCCTATTGAAATTGTACGGATTTTTATTATTCTGATTTTTATATGTCTGCATTGGGAGCATTTTTGGGGTACTTGCCAAGCATGAAAACTCACCATATTTTGCACACTTGTCATGCTTGGTGAAAATGTACGTGTGATATGGGTGTCATAATTGCGTGTTACAAAATGGCTCTCTAGCGCCCCGTAGAAGTTGGACCGGCGACACCCCTCGGCCCGTATGTCCGATTGACTTGAAACTCCACACATATTCGGCTCCGCTGGCTCTACAAAGAAAGCCTCTCAGACCCGTAAACTCCACCTACAAAAATGTTCCGCCATTTTGAATTTTGTGAAAAACAGATTTTTGCAAACTCCTCCGACATGTTGGGTCCGATTGCTACCAAATTTGCTCTGGATCATTAGTGGATCCACATCATCAACGATTATGAAAAGCTTTTTGATATCTCTTTGCGTTTACAAGATATGGACCAATAAACTTCTTAGGGGAGTGGTTTATATATCAATACACATAACTTCTCAGCCGTTTGTCCTAAAATCACCAAATTTGCAGCATATGTGCACATCGTGTCCTGTAACATATCTCAAAATGTAATTCCATTCAACCACTAGGGGGCACTACAGTAAACCCGTCTTGCTGTGCTTTTTTGTCACTTTTTGCAGTTTTCAGCCTTTGTACTTTAACGAACTCCTACAGAATTATTGAGATCAACCTCAAATTTGGTCAGCCTAATTTATATGATAGATTATTCTACATTGGCTCACATTTTAGCTTGAATTTAATTCTTTACAAAATCATATGTTTTTTTACTTTGACAGTCTGTTATGTTATTAACACTGAAGCGCATTAACACACATTCAGTTTTTTGTCGATTTCTACAGGCTTACAGTTATGATTGTATTCTGAGGTACACTCACAACATTCAAGGCTTAAGACCTGGCAAAATGACCTGGCTACACCATTAGTCGACACAGTAAATACCGTTTAACTCGTGTACTCAGTGTATGATGGTCACAGAAATACATGGCCACGTCAACCAGAGTCCTGCCAGTACCCTCGACGTGTGTGAAGTTGCGAGGGCCCGGTCAATGCTGCTTGCAGCTTTAATTCTATTTAACTTGATAATAAAGATATTTTGTACCCACCTAAAAATAGCAGTGTCAGTGTGTCTCGTTGTGCCCCTTCTATTTTTGTTCATTTTCCTTTTTTATTAGCTACACGACATTTTAAAACGGGATAATTACCCGTCATTATTCACACATAATGTGACAATTAATCTAACTGATATCAATGCGTGAGGTATCTGAAACAACCCAGACTGAGGGTTGATTTACGCCTGAGCAGAACTAGTTTCTTTGAGACACGTTGTCCACCCACGTCAGAAATCAGAAGCGTTTATAGACCGCCTTTATTATTCGTTATGCTCAGTTACACACGGCCAATCAAAGAGGAAAAGTCGGGGTTGGTGATTTTTTTTGGTTACGAAAAATGATTGAGAAAAGATTGGACACAGGTCCCCCAATCCATTGTTAGGAAGGTGTGGGGGTGTTTCAGAAGCTATTAAACCGAAACAAAAAAAATCCCATATGAGTCACTGAAGACAGTTTTTTGAAAGTCTTCCAAATATATCTGCTGATTCATTTTAAACGAAGTATCTTTGGACTGAGTGAAGTTCTCCTCTGCAGCCTCACCGTCGTCCTTCGGTCATAAAGGAGTCAGATCCTGGCCAGCAGCTACAAATGCACTTATCTGAGAGGCTAAATGCCTGCATCTGTCTATAACCTTATATTGTAATTGCCACCATCCTGTATCGATTACGCTCAAAAATCCATCGAGCCTAATGTGATTTCATTAAGATACAGTCCAAGTGAGCTATTCCAAACAAATACAGAAGAAAGGGGTCGATGTCTGACATTTTGCTGGAATATCCTTTCCAAGGCCAGAAATCATTGGAAATCATTTAGGGCAGCCTGCAGCTATTCTTAATGTGTTTTCAATTATTTGTCTACATGTATTCCATGTGAATTTACAAAAGTGAAAATAAATGAGAGGCAAAACTCCCCAATATATGAATAAATATGTAACATGGTTAGTGTTGAAGGAACGATGCACTGCTTCAGGTTTAAGTCCACGGTGGAGTTTTCTGCAGACGGAGACCACAAAATAAAACTGAAAAGTTTCTTCTTTTTGTTTTGGACAAGTCAAGTCAATTTTATTCATGCAGCCAATACTCAATAATCAATCAGTTGACTAAAAGTGCTTTAAAATCTGTATAAAATACAACACCCTCTATCTTAGACCCTTAAATAGCCCCCATACCCTTCGAGCAGGATTTATATTTAAAGTTGGTGTCATGTCGTGTCTTCTGTTTTTTTACAGACACACACAAAGTACTTCAAATCTCCATGTTTTTTTGCATCATCCCAACAGCAGGGAAAATGAAAACAAATCAAAGATCTTGTCACAAACAGTTAGGAAAAGGACTTCCAAAGTATTCCAGAATATAATCCAAAGTGCTTGGGAAGAACATATTTTTATTGATGCTTGAGAAGCGCATCAAAAGAGAGAACGAGTTGTAAAACAAACTCATAAGTGGCTGCAAAAACATAAACTGATCTCTATCAACATAGGTATGAATCATCAATTATTTCATCAAAGCCATATTAAGTGTAAATTACGAAGTGAAATAGATACAAGTTATAACATAGAGAGTCTTTAAAACAAGAAAAAGTTCAGTAAAACAGCTGTTTGGCATCCACCATGCAAAGCACAGAACTATCCACTGAGTGATGTTAAACATTCAGCAGGAAACTCAACGAACAACACTGATGTCTGTAAACCATCAATCAGCTGCTCAATCCATCTATCTTCACTCATCACAAACATGTGGACCATATGAGAGGAAGTGGAGAAGCTTCTCACTTTTCTTAAACAACAAGCGACACCACAGGACAGTGGGTTAACACCAACACATGTCTTCTTAAAAGTAAAACTCACCACATTTTAAAGTTTTCTAAACAAGTTTTAAAGTCCAAACTCAGAGTCCAAAAACATATCACTCCCAACTCATCAATAAACGCTTGGTCAGCGGCCACATTGCTTCAAATAACGTAGAGTTTCCACTTGCTATATTCATACAATCGGTTTTCAAAATAAAGGTAGGTTTACTCAGTTTTAAGGTTTACTTGTGCAAAAAAAACTACTTGGTGAGGACGAGGAAAATATTGTGGTTTGGATCCAAAGAAGTATGTTTCTTATGTAAAATAACTAACTGGTGTTCAGTAGGCAATTCCAGTTATGTAGGAAAAATATGTTTAAATAAGTCAACATTGACTTGTGGAACAGTGGCCTCCTGGGTTTGTTTGACCCAAACCGTCCCCTCCCACACATCTCACGCAACCTTTCATTCGCTTTATACCCCGTCAGTCTAATAATGACCCTGATGGGTTAATATTGGAGTTAGTTGAAAGCCTGGTGCTCATCCAGATATTAAAGGGTGCAGCACTGACCAAGCACTGCTATTTTACGAGTTGGGGGGTGAGACCCGGTTGTTCACATCAACCGGATCTGACAGTGAGAATTAGAATCAAGATCAAGATCAAGTTCCACAGCTAAAAGCCTCCACAACAAAAGTCCAACTTCCAACAGCCAATAGCAGACTGTCCCATCAGCTTTTCCAAGATCTGTCTCCTCGATCCAGCATGGCGACCGGTCGATCACTTACCGTACTCGATGTCATAGAACACGATGAACTTCTGCCAGCGCAGCTCCTCCACCAGAGTCAGCATGACGTCGTTGAGGCGGACGGGCGGCCGGGCAGCCAAAGTGTAGCGCTGCCCGCCGGGGCTGGGGTTGAAGTGGCAGGCGGTCCGCGGCGATCCCTCGCTGTTCCTCTGGATGTACAGGTGGGGGATGTGCATGGCGTCCGTCAGGGACTGCAGGGCGCTGGCTGACGCGCAGCCTGTCGAGGTGACCAGTGCCAGTATGCCCTGGTTCATCAGCTCGCAGGCTAGAGAGGAGACAGAGGGATGACGAGAGGAGTTATTTCATTGATACGGTAAAATTAAGCAGAATAAATGCGAACAAAAAGGATCTTTTCAAAGACAACTGAAACTGAACTAGGGTTTCTAGATTTGGAACAAACCCCTGTTAGCTGCACAGTTTCATGAAACACATATCAGTGCAGCCAGGGAGACGTGCCAGAGGCTGCAAAGAGTCATAGTGAAGCCCAGTACTAATGCTAAATGATGTCTTGACCTCCCATTACGGTTATTAGTCTGCATTATCATAAATCTACTCCGCAGTCTGACAGGTAACACCGTTCTTTTTTAAAAATATCTCTGACCTACTTGTGAACCTCCAAACCTGCACTTAAAAGAGCAGAACCTCGGATGATTTAACAGGCCGCGTGTCCAGTCTGTTGAGGCTAAGCTAAAGGTTAAGATTCCTCTGAATGCTGCGGCGGACTCAGCTGTCATACCTGTTTGTGTAGAAAAACAACAGGCTCATACGAAGCCTCAAAGGTTCCCACACAGTCAGCAGAATCATGTCTCTCATCTGGCTTTCAAGAGGAAACCATTCTATTACGATACGTTGAGTTGGACATGAAGGCTCCACAGAGACCTTCAAGGTCCCACAAGAGGGTGACATCTAAGTTAAATGAAAATAAGTACATCAACATTGGGACCTTGACTGCCAACGAAAGGAGACGTAATGAGCAGGATCAAGTGTCCGATCCCAAGAAGCGGCACAACAATTGCTAATCAACATTCATCTTTTAGAGAATGTTACTCGTGTCTTTTCCTTAGTCCTTATGAATTCTCCGTAACATCTTTCCTCGACCATCAAGGCCAAGGAAAAGTAGTTGAGAAAAGACATAGGATGTCATTTATTTTTGGCTATTTGACCGCAGCTCTACTGCGGGTTGCAACACTCATACTACCAGACTATTCAGTATGCCAGATCCCATGATGACCCAATACATAGTATGGCAATAACAGTATGGCAAAAATACCAGGATCTTCTAATACATCCGGGTCGCTTTTTGGGTGTTTGCAAGCAACCATCATAGACTGTTAATAAGAAGTGGACATAGTCATCGTTAAGTCACTTATTGGTTTGTGGACTGATGTTTGTGGACTGATCCAATCGTGTGTTTCTCATGTGAACGCTTTGCTATGTCTTTATTTACACCGTTTTAAACCTTGGCAGAATGAGAAGACATGAAGGAACATTGTGCTGCTCACTCGTCAACTATGAAGAGAAATTGCAGGTTGCACCATGAATGTAATCCCGCCTGCCTCCGAGCCCCACACTTCACTCCAGGTACGTTTCTTCTTGTGTACACTTACTCACTTCCACTGCACATCGAGCCGTTTCTTCTTCCTTCTGAATCTCCTCAACAACCATTTCTTTCCCCTTCTCCCCCCATTGACATTGACGTGTCCCATAAAAGCTGCCCTCTGCCCGGTCCAACCTCCAAACACCCATGTAGCTCCCAAGCCCTCCTCCGTCCTGCTGAGAGTTACACTCTGTACTTCAGTCACAGTATCATCACCTTTGCACATTTAAACTCCTCTATTAAACCACATACGGAGCTCCAGAAACCACTTTTTTCCTGTTCACACACTGCTGAGGCAGCGACAGGCTGCCAGCTAATCATTCTCTCTGGGCTCGCTCCCTTTGAAGCAGCTACATCAAACCCTGTTAGGAGCCACAAAAGTCAGAGCAAGAGGACAAACTGCAGACACCACAGTTTAAGTTCCCCTGGAAACCCAGACTTCTCTGTACTTCTAATACACACATGTTAATACTGCAGGATGGCTCCCGTTGAGACGAATCATCTCGTCTTCAAAAGAGTTTTGGCAATATACAACTCTTTGGTTGTGTTCAAACACTGAAATTAACTTTCAGTATGTTTTCCTGACAAGAGACCTTTTATTGTCCTCTGTTAAGAATATTGTCCTCTGGAAATTACATTTATCTACTGCATTTAGATGGACATGTAATTGCTGTGTGGATTTTCTTCACTAGAGGCAATTTTACACACTTTTCGACAGATTAATCTTTTCCAAAGATGCTGCAAAGTTGCCTGATTCTGGTGTTTCCCTACTAATGTCCAGCGATCATAGGCCTGGGAAAGACCCTGCAGTATTAAGGCAAGAACACTGCTAGGTTTAGGAAAAGATGGTGGCTTCGGGTAAAAGAAACTACAGAGGTGACGACATCTAAGTACGTAGATTACGTAAGAAAGAAGTCAACATTGACTTCTGGTTTCATATGGGACATGAACAACGATTTCCTGGGTGAAAGTCTGGTGTTTTTTAATCCAGGCGGTAACCTCCAGTTCATGTGTTAAAGCTGCATTCTCTCTAGCATCCACCAGGGGGCGACTCCTCTGGTTGTATAGA